CCCCCCCCCCCCCCCCACACACACACACATACACAGCCAGCATGACCATGCATGTGTGGTGTCAGTCGATCACGTGTAGAGTCCTTCCCATAAAACAAACGAACAAACGAGCAGTGAGTCAGTCAGACGGTCCATTTCATTACACACGTGTGCATTGAATGCATGTCCCTTCCTGTACAGACAGACAGACAGACAGGCAGACAGACAGACAGACAGTCAGGCAGGCAGGGCTGCCGGTGGTGTGGTGTAGAGGACTGCCAGCCATGAGTGACCCTCCACCATGTCAGACAACACGTACCCGCCACACACACACAGCCATGGACATGACACCTGTCCGCCCACCAGTCAGTCAGTCAGTCCGCCAACCCATCCAGGCAAAATCGCATGCAGACACATCACATCACATAAACCACACACCATCACCGTCACCAGCACATTCACGCATGTGTCCGTCCGTCCGTCCACCCCCTGCCCCCATCCCCTACACACACACAAACAAGATGAAACTAGGTGAGGCACCCGTCCGTCTACGGCAACAGGTAGGCAGGCCGGCAGTGAGGCAAGAGCGAGTCAGAGTGAGAGAGACTGAGTGAGAGAGACTGAGATGGAGGTATCTAGTCTAGTCGACTTCCTCCACAGTGGGTCCGCCAGCAGCACCGCCGCCCGCGGCGCCCTCTGCCCCCGCCCCGGGGAATCCCGCGCCGCCCGCGCCGGGCATGCCGCCAGCGCCGCCCGACTGGTAGATCTTCATCATGATTGGGTTGCACACGCCCTCAATCTCCTTGGTCTTAGCCTCGAACTCCTCCTTCTCCGCCAGCTGATTCCGGTCAAGCCAATCCAGCGTCTCCTGCAGACCACACACACACACACACACACGCAGAGAGAGAGAGAGAGAGATGATTGTGGGTGTGGGGAGAGAGGGGGTGGGTGTAGGCACCTTGATTTTGTCCTCGACGGCTTTCTTGTCGGCTTCGTCGATCTTTTCCTGGATCTTCTCCTCCTGCATGGTGTTGCGCATGGTGAAGCAGTAGTTTTCGAGGGCGTTCTTGGCCTCGACGCGCTGCCTGTTGGTCTCGTCCTCGCTCTTGTACTTCTCGGCCTCCTGAACCATACGGTCGATCTCAGCCTGACACACCACACACAATGACGACACACACAGCGACACACAACACACACAGAGAATCAGCATGCAGCCATGTTTGTGTCCTTCCCCCCTCCCCCCCCCTCTCTCTCTGTGTGTGTGTGTATTGCGTACCTGTGAGAGTCGTCCCTTGTCGTTGGTGATGGTGATCTGGTTGGACTTGCCGGTGGACTTGTCCTGTGCGGAGACCTGGAGGATGCCGTTGGCGTCGATGTCAAAGGTCACCTCGATCTGCGGCACGCCGCGGGGGGCCGGTGGGATGCCGTCCAGGTGGAACTTGCCCAGCAGGTTGTTGTCCTTGGTCATCGCACGCTCACCCTCGTAAACCTGCGCACACACACGACACACAACACACAGCACACAGCATCATGAGCACACGAGTCCATGCACTGTGTGTGTGTGTGTGTGTGTGACAGTACCTGAATGAGCACCCCCGGCTGGTTGTCGGCGTATGTGGTGAAGGTCTGCGTCTTCTTGGTGGGGATGGTGGTGTTGCGCTCGATGAGCTTGGTCATGACGCCGCCGGCGGTCTCCAGGCCGAGTGACAGGGGCGTCACATCGAGCAGCAGCAGGTCCTGGACCCCGCTGGACTGCTCGCCCGAGAGGATGGCGGCCTGCACCGCCGCACCGTACGCCACCGCCTCGTCGGGGTTGATCGAGCGGCACGGCTCCTTGCCGTTGAAGAACTCCTGGTAGACACACAACAGACAGACAGGCAGACAGACAGACATGAGCGTGTGTCGTGTGTGTGTGGTGTGGTGTGTGGCCAACGTACCGTGATGAGCGACTGGATCTTGGGGATGCGTGTGGATCCGCCGACGAGGACGACCTCGTGGACGGACCGCTTGTCGATGCCGCTGTCCTTGAGCACCTTCTCCACCGGCTGCAGCGTGCCGCGGAAGTAGTCCATGCACAGCTCCTCGAATCGCGCCCGCGAGACGGTCACCGAGTAGTCAATACCCTGACAGACCAAGGGATACACACACCACACACACACAGACACACACCCAAACAGGTCAGCGAGGTGTTGGTGTGGGTGTGTGTGGGCGGGCGGGGTGCGTACCTCAAAGAGCGAGTCGATCTCGATGGTGGCCTGTGTGGAGGAGGAGAGTGTGCGCTTGGCCCTCTCGCACTGGGTGCGGAGGCGCCTGAGTGCGCGGCTGTTGGTAGTGAGGTCCTTGCCCCTGTTCTTGCGCTTGAAGTCCTGCACGCAGAAGTCCACCATGCGGTTGTCGAAGTCCTCGCCGCCCAAGTGGGTGTCGCCCGCCGTCGCCTTGACCTCGAAGATGCCGTCCTCGATGGTCAGCAGAGACACATCGAACGTCCCGCCGCCCAGGTCGAAGATGAGCACGTTGCGCTCGCCGCCGCCCTTTTTGTCGAGGCCGTAGGCGATGGCCGCGGCGGTGGGCTCGTTGATGATGCGCATGACGTTCATGCCGCTGATGGTGCCGGCGTCCTTGGTGGCCTGCCGCTGGCTGTCGTTGAAGTAGGCGGGCACAGTGATGACGGCGTTCTTGACGGTCTTGCCGAGGTAGGCCTCGGCGGTCTCCTTCATCTTGGTCAGCACCATGGCCGAGACCTCCTCGGCGTGGAACTTCTTGACCTCGCCCTGGTACTCCACCTCAATGACGGGCTTGTCGCCCTGCCCCTTGGTGACCTTGAAGGGCCAGTGCTTCATGTCGTCCTTGACGCTCGGGTCGTCGAACTTGCGACCGATCAGGCGCTTGGCGTCGAATATGGTGTTCTCGGGGTTGCGGGCCACCTGGTTCTTGGCCGCATCGCCGATCAGACGCTCGGTGTCGGTGAAGGCGACATAGGAAGGGGTGGTGCGGTTGCCCTGGTCGTTGGCGATGATCTCAACCTGCACACACACACACACACATCACACACAGGGAGACATGTGTCTCAGACCGTATGCGGCCACACATGCATGTGCACGGGCACCCACTGGCTGGTGTCTCCCCTCCCACACGCATCCCGCTCCCTCTCCCCGCCTCCACAGGCCTCTCTCCCACCCCTCCCTGCTCACCGTGTCGTTCTTCCACACCCCGACACACGAGTAGGTCGTGCCCAGATCAATACCGATTGCAGGTCCTGACCAGCGCACAGGCAGACACCCGGCCGTGTCGTATGGGCACTCGCGCAGCCTCCTGCTCGAGCTCGGCTTACCTTCAGCCATCGTCGCTTCGCTTCGCTGCTACAGACAGAGGGATGTGAATGTGCGATGTCACGAGAGATGAGTCTTCTCGCAAAGAACTGGCAGGGAAGATCTCAACGAGACGCAAGATGACTGACGCCGCAGGCCGGACACCTCAAGCGAACCAGCGGGACGCGGGCAGGACTGAAGCAAACCCTATCTCGAGCTCGCGCTGGTCAACGAGGGTGTGAGATCTGGGAAGGAGTGTGCTGATGAAGCCTGCCTGAAGCCTCCCTCGCCCCGCGTCATCCCTTCCCTCCGCCATTATGTTGCGCTTGTCGCCCTTGCTGCTCGGCGGTGTGCACCGGCAGACCATCATGCGCTGTGCCGATAACACAGGCGCCATGAAGGTGTGCACCTCACACACATCGGAGATACAAACACTTTTCTGCAAGGCTCTCTTGCGGCGCGGATGTTTGTCTGTGTGTCAGGTGTGCGTCTTCGGGCTGGGCCAGAACAAGCGCGGCACGGGCAAGCCCGGCCACCTGATCCGTGTGTCCATCCGTGACAAGACGCCGGAGTGCACTCTGGGCAAGACGCACAAGGGGATGATCCTGCGGACAAAGAAGGAGGTGCGTCGGAAGGACGGCATGAACATCAAGTTCGACGAGAACGCCATGGTGATGATCGCCAAGAACAAGCCGGTGGGGTCCAAGATCAAGGGCCCGACCGTCCTCGAGCTGGGCTGGAACGCACGCAACCTCTGCAGATACATCTTCTGACTCGGGGTGGGGACCTGGGATTGTGACTGATGTGCGTCTCATTCGGTCGGCTTTGTTGCGTCACCATGTGTCGACGTCAACCCGCACGGCTGCGTGGTCCGTCTAGAGAGGGCGGGCCATGCGTCCGTGGGGGGCGGCGGCGTCACATGTGCGCAAGGAGCCATGGATGAGGACGCAAGGGGGACTCAGACAGATGAGATGACGTGTGTGAAAACGTACGTACGTAAGGAGTCTGTGTGGGGCTGAATGGCTGACTCACTGTCTTGTGTATCTGTCGTGTCTCAACTGGTCTTCCTGCACACGTCTTGCACACTGTCGCGTCTGTTTATGGCTCACTTGGTTGTCATGTGCCCTCGCAGCCTTCGACGGTTGCGTGGTCCGCTTAGACGGGTGCGGCCATGCGTCCGTGGGGGGCGGCGGCGTTACATGTGCCCAGGAAGCCATGCATGGAAAGACCAGGCCGACAGATAAGGCATCATGATCATCACATCACCACCAGACAGATGGTGGGGGTGTCTGTCTGGTGTTTTCACTCGAGGGACGGGGGGCGGGCTGGTGTACAGCTGTAGAGATTAAGGAGGCTGACTGACTCGCTGGCTCGTCGTCTTGTGTCATGTGCAAGTGTTGTGCGATTCATCCGTGGTTGCCTGCCTCCTTCCTCGACTGTCTCTTGCGTTGCCTGGACGGGTCATGAGCTCGCCGTCCTTGGTGATACCCACGGATGGCAAACTCATTGCTCGTGAAGTGATTGAAGAGCAGTCAGGCAGTAAGGCAGGCAGGCAGTGGACTCGATGTGTGTATATGCGAGCGCCCCGCTGGGCCGCCATGCCGTGTGAAACATCAGCAAGGGTCCATCCGAATGAAATTTTCGTAGACGGCTTGCCCACCCGTACACATCCCTTGAGCTAATTCTGTGTCCGTCAGTCTGCATCCACTCACACCACATGCACCCAATACAATGAAGGCAATGAATGGCAGTCGTGGCGCCTCGAGGCAGGCATATTCCTTGACACACAGGCAGGTGCACCTTGGCCATGAGGTGTCCCGACAGAACGTCACGGCCAAGGTGCACCGCCAATTTGACAAGAGAACATGCCGCAGAGGTGATCAAGGCGACAAGTATGCTCACACAGACAGTGAGTTGTGCAAGGACGGATGCACACCAACACGCATGTACCCCTCCCCAATGTCTGCACATCTGTGTGACATTTTCTTCCCCTGTCTCTTCCGTGCCTGGCAGGTGTCTGCTGGCGTCACCGCATCTTGTATCACCCCACCAGCTCACGCACTCTCAGGACGACAGGGGAATCGTCCTGTGAAGACGTAAGGAAATGGCGCATGACAAGACGCGACGCTTCCAACGACCTCCCGTCAGTCCATCCATTCATCCAACCATAGTGAGTCAGTCAGTGTCTTTCTTTGGTGCAGGCAGTTCGGTGTGTATGGTACAATGAAGGAAGCAAGCCCTAGCTAGAAGCCAGACGCACCGGACGGACAGAGAGAGAGAGCCAGCCCGCCATGTGAGGGTGTCTGTACGAGTGAATGGGTGTGGTGTGGCGTGGTGTGGCAGCTAAGGTAGGTAGCCACCCGCCCGCTGCATGGCTGGCTGGGAAAAAGACCAGCCACAGGACACTCCCCCTCCCCCTGCCATGCCATGCCGCATTCATCCACACAACCACCACCATCAGCATCAGCATCAGCTCACACAAACCTTCCTTCCTAGTGCCATCCCATCGGTGCATACCAGCCGGTTTGTCAGAGATACAAGCAGAGAGAGAGCCATGACAGCCGAGGCCAGCGGTGGTCACCTGTACACCAGCAGCTGTTCATCTCATCTCATCTCATGGCACGCCATCGATTACCATCCATACAATACAATTCCATACATGGACTAAACAAGGTCACACACTGCACACAGCACACAGCAAAACTCC